TTGAACTCCTGAGCTCAAACAATCCGCCCGCCTTGGCCTCCCAGAGAGCTAGGATTACAGGCGTGAGCCACCGCGCCCGGCCCTAACCATTTCTTATGGATGGCTTTTAAATAATTTAAAGATAATCTTGAGGGAATGCACGAATCATGTTCTTGGATTTCTGCAGCAACTCTGGTTATTATTTGTTCCATTTTTCAGATGCGAAAATTGCCTCAGAGATGTTATTTGCTTACGGTTGTACAGCTGTTAAGTTGTAGTAAGTTGCATTAGTTGTAATAGTTTAGTCTGATGCCTAATTCCTTGGTTTTTATGTTGTACTCTCAGTGGAATGGTTTATTTGCCAATCCTTGCTCAGGAACTGTGTTGCTTGTTAGATAAACTTGCTCATGGAACTCAGGATGCTCTTTTCCCTGCTGTCGTGCATAGTCATCCCAGCTGAAATGTCACCTCATGGCGAGAATTTCCCTGATGGCCTTTTCTCAAGTGGGTTCCCTCTGTTATTCTCTATGACAGCATTGTGTTTTTTTCCTTCCTAGCTCTTAAACTGGCTACTTTATTGTTTACTCACGTATTTTTTTGTTTCTCTTAAGACATTAGGAACTTTTTTTTATTTAGCTTTGTATCATTAGCCCCAAGTACAGTCTTGGTACAAATTAGGCAATCAAATATTTATTCACTGACTGAATCTCAGATATCTGAATAAATGATAAGTGACTTACAGGAGTAGTACCATAGGGGTTCAGTTTGTAAATGTAAATATCTTGTATAATCAAAATTTCTCTTGAAAATATATTTGACCCTTGAACCAACACTGGCTTGAACTGCAAGGGTCTACTTTTAAGAGTTTTTTCAGTGAAAGTTATACTGAGTGTGCCTGCCTCTTCTACCTCCCCTTCTGCTTCCTTGCTTCTTCTGCCTCTGTCACCCCTGAGACAGCAAGACCAACTTCTCTTCATCTTCCTCAGGCTACTCAACGTGAAGATGACGAAGATGAAGAGCTTTCTGTTGATCTACTTCCATTTAATAAATAATAAATATATTTTTTCTTTCTTATGATTTTATTAATAACATTTTCTTTAGCTTTATTGTGAGAATACAGTATAAAATACATATAACATAACAAAATATGTGCCAGTCGACTGTTTGTTATTGGTAAGGCTCCTGGTCAACAGTAGGCTGTTAGTAGTTAAATTTTGGGGGAATCAAAAGTAGTAAGTGGATTTTTGACTGTGCAGGAGGTTGGTGCCCCTAACCTCTGTGTTGTTCGAAGGTCAACTGTTAAGTTGTTGTAAAATGCTATATACTATACGTGATTTTGAGTAAATAGCATTATACAGTATGTATAATGAACATAACATGCAAAAGTATGTGTGAATTACATTTTTGTGCTATTTTGACATTAGAAAAGAGGCAGACAAATGGGGAAGAAAAGGAAAATTGAACTTTTCACCTATGATGAATATGCTATATCCACATCTTTAAACATTAGAATCACACTTAGAGCATCAGAAATGCTCACACTCCAGAGCTACGTAGAAATTGGGTAGACATAATGATAAGCATTTCACATGGTGAAATTATTTTCTTTCTAGCTGCAGCTGCTTTTTTTTTTCTTTTAAAGATCATTGCAGATTAAGTTAAATGAAGAGATAGTGATCTGTTAATCATTTTCCAGCTGGTATTCTCAAAATGTTGGGGTTGCTGCCACAAAAGCAGAAAAATACATGTTTCAGTTTCATTTAGGAAAGTAAATTTTCCCTTTGAAACAACCCTTTAAATTAACTTAAATAGTATATTTTAATATAGAATAGTGTAAAGCCTGTGTATGTCTAGCAAGGGAGGGATATGGCTTGTATGGCTTTATTCTCTCAGCTGAATACTATTCGCCGCTTGGCCATCATACAGTTTTCATATTGGTTTTAGTATTAATCTAATACTATACCAGCGTGGCAGCCACCACCATCCAGGGGGTCATCATCCTGGCCAAGCTTGCCATGGTTGCTGTGCAGCAAGGCTGCTAGGGGAATCAGCAAACTCCGTACCATTTCTTGCAAGGTGACTGGCCGCTTGAATGCCAATGTTAAGTGCTC